TCTACGGGACCATGAGGGAGATCCGGACATGAGGCCCGAGTCGGATTATCCGATCGAAAGTCAGGGGGTCGGGCTGAATAGCAGCTGGGATGAGGTCACACTAAATTTATCAAGAAAGGGCACACGTTTTAACGAATGAAATGTAAGCAAGTCAGAATCTGTGACAGAGCGAGAGTTTGATAAGAGGATAAGTAGTAGATAGATGGGCCAGGATAGAAAGAGGAGTGATATTATAATCGTTTCGGCAGAACGTTGGTCGAGAGATTGACTTCACTTGTCTCTTTGACGAGTTTGTAGTTTGGCACACAGACTGGCAGGACTCACTGATGACGCCGACTACGATGCCGGTGAAACGTCTGAGAATGTACCAAGTCCACTGTGTGATGCTGGGAATTATGATACCTACTATTGCAGAGGACTTCGGACAAGGTGCGTTCAACTAAGTCTCTCTGACAACAAGTTTCGAAAACGAGGTCAACCCACGTCTACAAAATATTATTCCATTCTAAAAAACCAAAAAACAAAGGGCACACTTTTTAAAACTGTTGCGAACATTTAATTTAGCATTATCCTGACTCCCTTCTCCCCTTCATTATTTTACCATTTTCTATAATATTTACTAAACCAAGGTATACTGTGCCTAGAAGCTTCACTAAACTCAAATAAAGATTGCTTAAAAGAATTAAGGCATTTTCCATCTATATTATTACTAGTGAATAAAGCAATTAACTTGACATATTGTTATCTAGAGGACAAACAATTATAACCAGAACATATAATTTCGATGGTACATTTTTTAATTTCTTTCTTCATAATAAGATAGCCTTAATCAAAAGATAGTTTGTATCAAACAGTTGAAGTCATTTTATGGCCCCTGGTATATGCAAATCGGTACTATTTAGAAAATACTTGTAGCGCATAGCAAAAAATTTTAAAAGCGATTACTAAGTTTATGGTTACTAGAGTTTGCTGCGCTATGCTCATCCATAGAAATTTCCACATACCTCGTAAAAATTTACAAATTCGCCCAGGAAACCTCCTTGAATTACCACCTGGCAAGGCCTTATTTGTTTGGCATTTGCTCACCAAGTTGCTCTCTTGTGCACAAGATCTTGTCTCCATATTGGATAATCCCTATGGAGGTGACTTTGGCACTCAGTAAAAAACCTTCAGATACTGCTCTCACACACACAAATCAATGTATCTCTGTGCATATATCGCCACCCATTGCATTGATGTCATACCAACTGGCACGTGCGAGTAGAGCATCAGCTCAAAGATCATGCTCGGGGAATCTTCGTCTGGACGGCAGCCTGTCTATCTCAGCTGCAGGCACAACCGCTTTCCGGAGAACAATTGCCCAGCAGTCTTGAGGAGCCGACCGTGCCAACCTCGACTGAGTGGCGGGGCACAATCAGCCTTGCCGGCAGCCAACCAAGCCTCATGCAGCTTCTTGAGCTGACCCGAGAGCACGAGAAACGGGTCGGCGAATACGAGGCGAAGCAGGCCCGTTACTCAGAACTACAGGTTGGTTGAATCGGCAGGCTTGTCAATTGCCTTAATTCAGTCTCCCACCAATTCGGAGTCGAAATTCACTATCTCTCAAGTCATTTTATTATCGTACGTCCAATTGAGCTGACTTATGCTTAAATACACCAGACTTCAAACTGGCTACCATTAATTTTGTTTCAATATCATAACCACTAACCGCCAGTACAATATGACTGAGATAAACAAGACTAGTCCGACGAAGGTGTTTCGGATGGCTGTCAAAAGAGGTAATAAGTAATGGTAATTTTTATTAATTATAAAATAAGTTTTTGAATTATATTAAAAGAAATAACTCACAGTAACTCAGCTTATAAGTACTGGTGTTTAGC